TTGGGGTTTATTTATTAGATAATTTTATACGTACTGTATAGAGGCTGTCGTGGTCGATCGTCGGTGTGGGCAAGTCGGCGCCGTTGGAAGCGTCGTCGAACGAACCCCTTCCCAGGAATCCGTATTCGAGGGCGGGGTATAAAACCGAGCCTCATTTTAGATGATTTTATGGGGGTTCAAAGAAAAGGCCTTGTAGTGGTCGAGTTCGAGAGGCCGGTAACAAGGTGTGATTGGCCAAGTGACGTTTTGACTCCTGAGCAAGTCTGCGGGGTAGACGCACAACATTCAGCAGTGAATATATATAGCTGATAATTGTAGCACAGGCGAGTCATTTTTGTCGCACATGATCAACCCAGTCGTGGAAACTACGGTTATTTCTATCTACGCGCTCCCCACCGTCCCGGGAAGAAGTCAGAAATGGCCGTGCATCAGCGGTCTGGTAGCTCTACTAAGTTCATCCACCAATGTTCCAATAGGCCCAGCATCCTATTATATAGCTTACGGCTTGACGGCCAGAGTTACGAGACTGTAATCAAGACGCCGAAGTCGTCGAGCTCATCTCAGTACCATGGATCTTCCGCTCCGCCCAACGAGTTGAGCATGCACGTTTAGGTTTGGATTTCTATGTCGAATGGAATTTGGAATGGTCACGTTCATCTTGGTGCCACTGTGAGTCAATTCCGCTGCTGTCGCCATCTCACAAACATGTCACCATAGAATTTGGAATAAAAGAGATGCATATAAGGCTATTTATCTCAGAGGCACTTCTGTCGAGTCCAATGGCGTATGGTTCGTGCCTTCCATTCGTGTTCGAACTGTGTTTCCTGTCCAAAAATAAAAGCGCAGTTGCGTTGGCATGCATATCAGTAAAAATTTCTCAGGAAAGTCTATTTGTCATAAATACTGGAGGACCACGTCGCGCTCTTTTCGTGTCAAGCAGGTATCCATGAATAATTCTTGCCATTATCAAAAATAGAGGTCACAATAATGGAATATTATGAGCATATAAGGCATAGGTTGCACGTGTTCCTAAGTGTCAATGGCCAGTAGCTTGAAGAAAGTGGACCCGCAATGTCTTTACTTGGCGCGAGATTTCTTTTCTATGAATAAGACGTGTTGTTTAACTGAAAAATAAAGTTAGAATCTTCAAATAGGACACAATAAATTAAATACGTACTCTTTGGGTCGTATTTTACTTGAGTCAACTTGGCTCCAGCTCTTGGACGCGTCGTCGAATAAAAATACCCTGTACGGGCCGATGAAAACAACTGAACAATGATCGTTCTGTAAATGAATGACATTAATACAAAGATAAATTGCTGGTTGCACCGTGCATACTTTGCTTTGGCTTTCGCCGCCATGGTGGTTGGGTCGAAATTTCGAGGTTGTCCGACGTTCATTCCCGCTCCTGGTAGTTGAGCCATCAGCCGCAATGGCATCCAGCTCGACAAAGATGAAGCCCAACAGAACAAAGAAGAAGAGTTACGAAAATCCTGAAAAGAGCGTGGAAAACCCAACTTCTACATCCAAGGGTCAAGGCAAGATCCAAGTCAAGACAGAGAGCAGGCCCAAGACCAATAATATATTCGAAAAATACATTATCTCGTCTGAAGACGAGCCTGAGTTACCTCAAGATACCTGGGGAACGATTGACAAGGATTGGGAGGTTGAGAAGATCGTAGACGAAGCAGTAGATTTGGCGGGCAAGCACAAGTGAGAGATTTTGATCTCGTTCATATGAAAGAACAATCTGTAACCTCACTGACATATAGGTATCAGGTCAGGAGCTTCAAACTAGCTAGTGAGCAGAGACTAATGTTTGAATAGGTTGTATGGAAAGACTGGCACCGCCAGTCAGACGGGACTAGTACCACTTGGGTAGAATACAAGACTCTAATCGGTAACGCGGGAGAGGTGTTGAAGGATTGGGAAAGCGAGAAGGCGAGGCGGATTATCGAACGGAGAAAGTATTATGCGAAACACGGATATCCAGTGTCCCTCTTTTCTAATCAATGTGTGTACGTCATTCACTTTATGGTAAAAGATATTGCAGCAAATATCTGACTGAGCTCAACAGGACCAGGTTTGCGACCACTTGCGAGGAGTTGGGAATGGGAAGAGACCAAGAGCTTACACCAGAAATGAAATTCACCTCTTCATTGGGATCTCTGAATGGTGCGGATTGGAATGACGAGATAGCTCAAGTCAAAGCCGAGGCGTTGCCTTTCATGAAAATGGGGGGAGTAGTTAGGGCGGAAAAGAACCGACCTGACAAGATTTCGGTATTTTAACATAGATTTCCCTCCAAATAAGTGATGAGACTGACTTGCTAGTAGCCTTCTCATCCCTCTGTCAAACGATCCGAATCCGAGGCCCAGCATAGGGCTCCATCCACCCCAGTTACCTCGGTCGAAAATGCGACTATATCACCAAGTCAATCTGTAGTAACCCCGTCGAAAAGACCATTTCGGGGTCCTCTCTCAGCTCAAAAACGGCATGAACTCAAGCAAAGTCCCACCCAGCCCATAAAGCGATCTTCGTCACCCAATCTAGCTCAGTCGACACCATCAAAACGACGTAATACTGGAAAGAATCGGAGAGTGTGGGTACTCTCACTTCTCATGTCCTGCTGATCATAATATCTCGAATCTAGTGACGACGCTCGGGATATTCTGCAGAAAAGGTGGAATTCTGCTACACAAGAAGCGAGAGCTGCCTCAGTTACTTTAGTTAATGATGTGGATGATGAGACCGTTCCAGCTTCTGTGGACTGGCAGACCTTTGAATATATCGAAAATGGTCCATATCGCTCGTGAGTGTTGGCGAGAGAATACCCATCCAACCTATACTTACCCCTCTCTCAAAAACTCTTTCCCCAGGGGCGAGGTCAGCCATGAGGGTTTCTATGTGGGCTGTGAATGCTTTGGTCCCTGTCAAGACCCGGAAAACTGCAGTTGTCAGGATCCTGAATTTGCTGCGGTAATCGTTCACGAAGGAAGAAGATCTTTTGCCTATGATGCCAATGTATGTACCAGTATCACAGCTCGCTGTCGTCTGTATGACCGCCCCTATCTCCAGGGCCGATATATTCTCTCTGACGAGGCTTCTACCGCCGTAATCGAGTGCAATCAGGTATTGTCCTTCACCGACCGTAAGAGTATACGGCACTCAATGAGTGAGAGTAGTACTGTGATTGCGACGAGACTTGCCCGAATAGGGTGGCTCAGAAGCCACGGGATGTCCCTCTGGAGGTTTTCAAAACGTTTGACAAAGGTTGGGGTGTCCGACCAACCGTATTCGTCCCAAAGGGAAAGGTTGTAGGGGTTTTCACAGGGTGAGTCGCGGGCCAACCTTTGTTCTGGATTCGAAGTCTCATCACCCTGGACGTGTAGTGACCTCATGCGGTAGTATCTAGTTTATTACGAAGTAAGGGACCCTTTAGTTGACATCGGTTCTTTAGTGAGAGTTCGGACGAGCATGATGGGTGGGTATTTGATTTGGATGGCTTCGACCCAGAGCGGCCTATGGTGGTCTCGTCTCGGCAGTGTGGTAAGTGTCAAGTTTCAAGAGCCTGGTTTCAGAATGGGAATGATACCTTTCACAGGAAACTGGTCTCGGTTTCTCAAGTGGGTCTCTTTTCACGAACGGCCAAGGGTCATCACTGAGCCAAACACATGTAGTCATTCCTGCTTTCCCAATATGAAAGTCTATACTGTCATCTACGACTCGGTCCCTGATGCGCAAGTGAGTTTCGGGCCAGTTGCTTTCTGACAGGCCTTGCCCGTACTGACCAAGATACCCCTTTAGGACAATCCCCATCGACTGGCGTTTGTTGCCATCAAAGACATTATGCCACGAACCGAAATGACGATCAATTACACCCCTCAAGTTCCCATAAGGAAGGGAGGCAAAGGCTGCTGCAAGTTTGGAGGGTGTCTGTAGCCACAATTTCCTAATCCGTCGTGCTAGAGGATAAAACATATGGTGGATCTCCTGGGAGGATGGTTTACGTGAACGGCTGGAGCAGGAAGGGCCAGCGATCGAATATGTATTATATTTTTATTACCAATATGACCTCACGGCACCCCACATCTTATCAGAGTTTGCATGCAGAGATAATAGGCAGCGTTAGTCGACTGGATCCGTGTGGTGCGAGCAGATTGAGAAGTGCGGTGATATCTCGTCTGAACTGGATGGCTTTAGGGTTCGTTCTGACCTCATTGGCGCTTGACGGCGATGAAAGACAGCTAACTTGGATAGGAAAGGAAAACGAAGGAGGGGATTATCTCTTTTCAATCGGCAACGATCGAACAAGCAATCAGATCCTCCAGGGCGGTAGCATCCAGAATGGGCGAGGAGGATGGCCAGAAATGGGCAGACTGCTGTACAAATCTGGTGCTCAGGGTCAAAAAGATGGACAATATCAGAAATCTGGCGAATAGTCGCGTCAATTCAGGTAAACGCTCCTGTTCATATGTCTCTCCTATCGATTCGTATACAACCCGTGAGGCGCTTCTGCTAAAACACGTATGGAGGATCATCAGCTTGGCTATATAAAGGTCCTGCTCGTGGCGAGTCAGCGGTACCCATCAACCATTTTTCCTCTTCCATCCCCAGGTGTGGCACGCCTAACCTTCGCTCTCCCATCCTCCACTTTGGTCCAGCCACACCAACCTTCGTCCCAAATCCCAAAAATTTTTTACGACGTTTTGTTCGTAGCCCTCGCACCTGTAACGACACTATCGTACTCGAATTAGCTAGAATCCACGTCTCTCGCTATGGACTTCACCTACACTTACGGTGCCTCTGACGTCTCGCACACCAAGGCCAAGGCGGGCGACACTGACCGCTGGGCCGCCAGCCTGAGCCCACTCTTGGACGTTAACAAGAGTACCAGCATGAGCCACCGGGAGCTCATCAAGATGGACACGACCGTTTTAGACATTGAAATGAAAAAGGCGTCCGTCACCCGCTCGGAACTTGAGGTGAGTCACATTTCCTCCTATTCCCCTTTCAAACACTTTGGCGTCCTTGGGACGAAAAGTCCCCATTTCGTGTCGCTGTTGGTACGTCCCACCAAGAGGCGCCTCTCTGTGAGATCGCTCCCAACGATGCCTATTTGTTCGGGACAAGCCTCCGGAGACCCTCTGCCCTATAAATTCCTGAAATGGAGTTGGGCTTGATGATCATGCTCATTTTGGGTGCTCTTTTTCTGATGTGTATCGTACAACTGTGATGGACTGATCACTTTGCTTTATATGGTCGTTATCAACTGGGATCCATCGGCGCCACCCGTTCATTGGTCGATCACTTGCCCAATTGCAAAACCCAATCCCACTCGCCAATCTCGTTGATATGGTCAATCCCTCTTCCTGACCCTATGTCGACTTTTGGCGTTTCTTCTTGCTTCTCTGGATTCGACACTGTGCTGGGAATCTTTGGCTGCGGGTCGCACAGAGCAACGCCAGCTTCCGAACTTCACTGGTGGCGATTGCCACCAAACCTCCTGGCATGTTGCCCGAAAATAGAAGGTGGCACTTTAAGGAACGAGCGATGACCCTCTGTTTCTACTTTTGGGGGTATGTGTCCATTTTGTAAACTCTTGCCTTTCCCTTTCCCATTATCCCTTGCTGCCTTGTCGGCGGGATTTCCCCCTTCGTTGCGCTATTTTTACGGATCGAAACGCAAAAGCGTCTCTCCGTCCTTTTTTTCCTTTTTCATCGGCCGGTCGCGGTGAGCGACATGTGAATTCCGAAGCTTACTCACGTACATTTCCCTTTTCTCTTGTTTTCCCACAGTTCGACAGAGCTCAACTCTGGCGGATATTCGGATGACACGGACATGCAGCAATACCTCAGACTCTCGGCAACTCCTGAAAACGGCAGATGGGCCTAAAAACACCCAAAAATTGTAAAACATGGAGGCAATCATGTAAAGATACCATAGAAAAGTTCCGGATGTACGCTCCGTGATGTTTCGGATCGGAAGCCTGTAATACAGATTCGCCATGCGGCGGACGTTCCTTTTCTTTTTTGCTTAGAATATCTGTGGACTAGGGGTTATTCGCTGAAATGAACACTTTTTACTCGATATAAACCCAAGTTTGCCGTTCTACCCCTAAGCTAGCCGAGAGTTTTTAATGTCGCCACCCAGCCTCAATCCACGACCAGATGTATTATTCCAGATGGTTGATTGTCAGTTCAGAAAGCAAAGTTGGGTCTGGTTCACAGAGATCATGCTACGACGAGTATTGCGTGACGCCGTTTTAACGAACCGTCGGTTTCGTGGGGCTTTGCAGGTTCAGCGCCAGGTTCGCAAAAGACACGGGTCCAACCGCCAACGTGTACAGAATATTCTTAGCAAGGGACATCAGACACAAAACATCAGCCGTCACAGGCCAGCCAGTCCATACTGAGCGCCAAACGCCTTGATACCACTTACGCCCAAAGCGGGGACAGGCAAACGTTGGCCACTCTCTACCAGCTAGGAGGCGTCATACAGCACACGCATAGCGAACCATGTCTTCCATCTATCGGTTGCATATCTCTCCTCCGCTACTGAACAGTTCCTGTCCTTGGGCATCGTCGCATTTGGATCTAGAAGCACTGTGGGTCACCCTTCTTCATTCCCATTGACGCTATTTGCCATTTAACAAGGGACGCATATAGGTACAAATGTAGACACACCGGAGCGGTTACGACTCGTACGAGTACAATGAAGGGTTTCGAGGAGAACATTAAGGTGCACAAAGTGCGTCGCTTGGACACATTATCTGCCCACTTCTCTGCATCATTGTGACTGAATCTATACGAGGATAGGTGGCTTTTGCAAAAGACTCGATGGTATCACTCAATTCATATGGATATTCACCTTACCCACTTTCGAGTTATCTAGGATGGGTGGAGTGGATTCTCACCTCCTCAGAGACGAATCCAAAGAAGCCATTCATCATTAGCATAACATCTTCCGATCCTCAAGAGCTGAGCGAGATGGTAGAGCAGATCCAGCGGCTCCGTTCTTCCCTCTCAGATTCATCTGACGACCCTGA